TTCGTTGCGAACACTCCATTTATTGATCCTTTTCCATAGATTTAAATGACAGTTCAATCGATATATCACAAAACATGCCACGCCACAGAAAATGACGTGCATTTTTCACAATTCAACGTGACTCGGTGCGAGTCTGATGGCTAATAGTTGAGTCTGTAATATTTTATCATTTGAAATGACAATAAATCCAACAAACTTTACAAAAGCTTCAAAATAATAAGTTGAAAACCGTCGACGCCGCACGTTTTAAAAATCGTATCAAACACAGTGCGGCAGGCGCGGAAAGCATAGTAGCGCCTTACAAGACCGTGGGATACTTCATGCATTGCGCGTACAGCACGGTGCGCGCGGCGGGTAGTATAGCGCCTTACAAGTCTGCAGGATACTCCATGCATTGCGCGTTTACCACAGTGCGCGCTCAATTCGTTGAAAAGTCGTATTTTCTTGGTGTTGAATCAATCCCGGTGTTCACAATTTCCGAACAGTGTACACCGTGAGCATTCAATCCTAGGATTACAGGATTGTAGAGATTTCGCAATCCTGTAACGTTTCTCGGTGTAAATATGATTTTTCCCGGCCGCTTCGAGGAATCAGTCCGCTTTGATCTTAATACCATAGTTTCAGAAATTCGGACGATATTTGATTTTTTTTTTTTTTTTTCTGATGAAAATAATGAAGAAATTAGAATGAACGAATATATCGGGTCGAAATTTTCTTTGATTTTGTTTAAAATCAGGCGCTTCTAATTATTTGCCCCATTTCAAAGATAACAGGAAAAAAATTGAAAACAGGGCTGGCCGTATACTTTACATAATCGCATGTATCGATAATCGCGCAAGTATCGATAATTGCATATACAGCGATGCTGCGGCGGCGGTTGCTTAGCAACCGTGAGCCCGTTCCTTTCCCCAATTTTTCCATTTTTTGACGATAAAATCCTGAAATCACGACCGGGATAAAATTGAAGTAGCCAGTGTCACCCACCGAACTGGAGAGGACCTGTACACAAATTTTAGGGAATATCGGATAAAGGGTACGACCTCTATTTCGTGAAAACCGTCAAAACCGACCTTTACTTTATATATAAGATAAAGAGTGCATACGAACAAAAATCGCTGCGACGGAAAAAAACTGTTCCGAAGGTGGTAAAACGGAGTTTTTGTTTGATCCGATCAAAAGATTTCCGTTAATTAAAATCGCGACAGGCGAAAAAACCGAGGACCCTCCAGTTAATTACAGGGGTGACAAACGCGTTGAGTAGGATGATTTTAATTTTGACTACATTTAACTCACTAAAAGAAGCGAAATCTGTTAGGAGTTTCGTCTCGTGAAATTAAAGGTTTGCGTCGGAGTAATTTATTCAATTATTAATTACTTGTTCAAGAGAAGTAATTTAAAATTTTAATGAAGTTACTCCGTTTGGAGAGAGTTGGAATACAAAGGAGGATAGTCGAGAGANGGGGGGGGGGGGGGGAGGTTGATGCAGCCACGCGCTAGCATAAATAAAAGGAGTTAGTGCAGTCAAGATTATTGTTAACTTTTCGGAGTCAAAACTGGGACCTCAGATAAACAGTCGCTTCTTTTTAGCTGGAATAAAGTACCCGCGATTCGTGGACGTAATAATGAGCGTAATGAGCACCGAGACAGTGGCTCTCACTCAAATTTTAAAAAAATAAACGTGGTAAACACGCTTTGACCAAGCTCATCCCCGTTTTAACAACATACATTCACTATGATTATGTTATGTTATGTATGGCTGACAATGATGGTGTGTTCTTTTAGTTCTTCAATGTTCAGATTCAATTATTCTCTCTCTCTCTTCATTTACTTTTTTTTTAAATAAAATTTTAGTAGCAGCATACTATAAGTAGTCCGCACTGAAAGGCGGGGTCAGGTGAGCTACTCAGTCTATTGTTAAAGGGGTGATCGGATTCGATACCTCTGATTGTATAAACGAGCCAATGTGTATCTGAGATTCAACCCATAACCAGTACCCTAAACCCGCAGTACCCCAGTACTCTACTCCTCAGCCCGCTACTTTCGTGACTTCGACGTAACCTAATGTTTTGCTTAATTGCCACCCAATAGCCGCATCTAGATTACAATTCAACGGATTTAGCCTGAAATTTTGTTAAGTTCATACAGTAAGTTACAAAAATTGAATGAAGGTAACCACAATAGTCATGTCTGCAGGTACAAGCGCATGCCTCCCGCAAAAACAACATGAGGTTCAACGAAAATCCAACCCAGTTAGTTTTTGCACATCCTCCGATTTTCGTGGGACTCATTTGAGCAAATTGACCTTAATGTGCACCTTCACGGAAAAAAATGTCAGGTGTTATCTCATAAAATTTTAAAATTTCTTGAATGATATGGAGATTACCAAATAATTGTAGCATTAGCGCAAATTTGGGTTAGTAACCTAATTTATTGGAGTATGTACTACCACAATCAATTAGAAATGTCCAAATCATCCAACAACCCCTTGCTCTTTATTTCTCCCCATGCTTAATGCAGTTCCCGCCAGGCACATCTACGGTAATGTCAAAGAAAAATGTTCTCTCTGTTTAAGGCTCCTGTCAAGGCAACTTCAATGTCACTATTCTACTAGAATTATCCAGAATCCAACCTCCGCAAGACATGTGTAAGCACACACACCTAAGACACTCATCAATTTCTTTAGCTTCCCATTTTATTACATCCTCCCAAAATATCCTCAAAATGTTCATTGTGCGGTTTCGTTGATGGGCAAAACGTTTCCTATGGACCTGCGGGCCGATTATTGAAATTTTGTGTTCGTCTGGCGGACGTATAGGTTAAACGGCGGAGCGTGATAGGTCGGCTGTTTCTTATCGCTGCTGTATCGTGCCGTCAGGTGGAATAGACGACATCCTGTCGGGAACTCAAGAGGTGCCTTTAGCTTGCCGTGAATTTCACCTGACAAAGGCACGACATAGCAGCGATCAGACATAGCCGACCAATCATAATCCGCCGTTTAACCTGCACTCGACAAACATAAAGTTCCAATAATCGACCCGCTGGGTGTTACCGTGGAAATTTTGACACTATCTTGTTTGACACGAGGAAAAAGAAGAGAAAAACCCTGCAAAATTTTCTTTCTTTCTCTTTTCTTCCTCTTTTAGCTCTTGTTCTTCGTCATCCTCTGCTTCTCCTTATCCTTCTCTTAGTGTATTTGCCGAAGGAAATACAATATTTGGAAGTATTTATGCTAAATGGAACTATGTGCAAGAGGAAAGATGAGGTGCGCTCGTTAGTTGAGGGCCATAAGAATGAATGGGAATTTAAAAGCGCCAGTGACGTCAGCAGCGACGATCGAGCCCGGGCGGGACGAGGAGATCAATGGCGGGACTCTTTAAATCATGAGCCCTGTCCACAAGGCTCTTGTCGCATGTTCACGGCTCACGAGTTAGCGCTCAATTCCTTTTGATTTAATGTAGAATCCCGCTTTTCCATGTTATCATAAGGAACCATATCCACTTTTACATTGTTCTTTATGCAGTTTGCACGAGCACACCCCCATCTTTTCCCTTGTACATAGTTCCTTTTAGCATAAATACGTCCATTTCTTCCTTTCCTTATTGTTCGTCAATACAGAATGTTGCGATTCCCGTAGAAAAAAAAAAAAAAAAAAAAAAAAAAAAAAAAAAAAAAAAAACTGTATCGTCTAGGTAGCGTGAATCGCGGCTGGACGGTGTATAAAAAAACCACTCAGCTGAGGGAATCAATTTCAATAAGCACGAGGACCACACAAAACAGACAATCCCTCTTTCGTAGCTGCGAGCGAGTGGAGGAGAGCTCTGGACGGTAATCATGAGGTTAGCCCCGTGTCGGCGAGACGTGCGCATGCGCTTCGCATTCCTCGTTGTCCGGTCGGCAGCAAAAATCGCGGCCCACCGGCGAGGAGGCAGAAGATTCGGTTAGAAGCGGCAACTTTAGAACGAATGTATCCCTTCTTGTTTTCCGCCCATTGCCAGACTAGCGCCGGGGGCCGGGGCATCGGCCGGGGGTGGGGGAGGGGGAGGGCAGCGACTCAACTTGTTTTACAAACAATGAGGTCCTCGACTTATTCAAATTAGCCCTCATAAAACGGCTCTGATTCACCGGCCCGGAGAACCACGTATCCACGTATGGTTCCCATTGGAGAAACGTTTTTCTTGCTCAGTAGGGCGAGGAGATCTTCGTCCTGGCAACCGCAGCTCCAGAATCAGCTGCTAACGCAAATCCTAAAAGATGAAGGTCCAGAGACCCTTGCTCCTGCACTAGAGTAACCGAAGAGAGCAGTAACAACCAAATTTAGATTTCTTTGAATTCCCAATGATCTGATCTTAATAAACTGAACTCTTCCGCTAGATCAGAAAAAGTAGCCGTGCTTGCGAAGTACCAGGGTTGTTAGAGAGTCGAAAGTTGAAACTGGCATCGTTTCTAACCAAACAGCGGTAAATCACATTATCCCGCGGGAGAGCCGTACTTAGTACTTACTGCTGTATTGCGTAAAACAAATGGTACCCTTTTCTGACTGTTCATAAAATGATAAATTCATTTTCTATCTAATCAAGTAAGTGATATGTTATATTCCGTTGCGAATCTCAAAAAATGTACACACTGAACAAACTTACGGAATTTTGACGTGTCTACACCTAATAACATTATTGAAAGGACAGAAGATCACGATCAATTGGATTGCGTTTAGCAGAAAAGAACCAAACCACATCAGATATTGCCAAATGTGACCTGATAATTTTATTTTTTTTCCAAGAGGACGTTTGTACGGATTCCTTTGAAAATTGTACTGAATTTGCTTCGTATTATATGCAAAAAATTCACTGAAAGCACAGAAATCCGCAGAATCGTTTCCATGTAGAAAACTAAATTGCCGTATTAAATTTGGCGATAGCTGATTTGGCTTGACTTTTTTTTGCTTAACGCGGTCCAATCACTCAATTACTAAAAAATTAAAAAAGAAGAAAAATAGTAAGTACCTGGAATGGAGAGTTAATGATTGGACCTGCTTGACCGATGTACAGAGTTGAGGCTGAATCGAAAACAAGCTCCATAGGCACCCGGTTTACTCGGATTTCCTGGGATTTTTTGCAAGAGGCTAAGACAACTTCCTCCTTCTTCACGCGGATAAGAAACTCGAAGTATCTTCTCAGCTTGAAAGGGACCGTGAAACTTGCTATCATCTGGGAGACGGACAGTTTTGGATCAGTGTAGTAGAGATTTACATTCATCGACTGCTCGCTCGTTGGCTCTAATCTTACACCCAACTGCACAACCTGTCAACCAGAAAAATATGGTTTAAAATTGAGGAACTCTTGACAAAAATTTTCATGAATTCATTCAGTAGCTGTCACCTTACAGTTGGATCACATTTCGCAAAAGAGAACCAGCGCCATCACAGTGCTGTAACAATGTTGCTTTTTCATAAATATCTAAAAAATCTCCCAGAATATCACATTGTTTTTGTTTCCTGCCAAAAACTGTTAATTTTAAAGGGAAATAACTGTGTAAATTGTAATACTGTACCTACATTAAATATTTTTAAAAGAAAATCAAAAGTTGCGCGATTTTGAAAACGCTGCAATCGCGTTGGTTCCTTTTTGCTAAAGGTGAACATTTTTCAACTCAGTGCGTTTGACGATGAAGAATATATGGTTTCCAATGAGAATCATTGATCATTTTCATTTATATAAAAAAAACATTAAAGAACAACAACAACAACAACAACAACAACAACAACAACAACAACAACAACAACAACGGACGAGCCCCCAAACTTGCATCTGGTCAAGCTCTGATTTCTGGTTATTACATTTGTATTGGCAGATATAAACAGAATTTGATTGGCGAGTCACCATAGATTTTAGGACGAGGCATTGCAACCGTGTAAGGGAACATCATCCGTATGTCTTATTAATAAACAGCAAATCGGAGGATCGGTAACTTCGCTCTGACTTTATCCCCAAATCGATTGTGCAGTTCCGCTACGCTTGAGCAATTGTGTATAAAAAAGCTAAAAAGCAGTTGCGGGCTATAACCGCAGTATTTCTCCTTAATGGTCCGATTTCCAGACTTTGGCGCGCTCGGCCGAGATGCTCCGAAGTCTCGACGCAATTGCACGATAGTGCCACGAAAATCGGGTGTCGGGAAGATAATCAATTTTCTCCGGATGTGATAAATGCGAATCGTCGCACAAGCTGGCACCGTGGTAACCACGCGAATGTAAAATTGGAACTACTCGCGCTCAATAGAGTCGCCTTCAATTCGATACTTATGCACACCTCTGCACACTTCGATGCGCAGCTGCCTCCTTGTGCCGATGTAATTCACCAGGAAATTCACCAGTCATCATTTTGCAATAAGCAATCATCTGGTCAAAAAGTAGCTCAGCAACCATCATTACGAGGTCTGTTAGATTAGAAACCGGATTTCTGTCATAACTAGCCCACAATGCGTCCAAATTACGTTTTCTTGAGCTTTTCTGATAGCTGAAAATATATTCAAGAACGCTACGTTCACAAATTTGAAAAATCCTAATTAGCTTCGTTGGTATGTGGCTTGAAGTAAGGCAACCTCAAGGGTGTTTTGCGATTTTTATGTTTGACCGAACTTGTCTCTCTTTTTTCGGTCTTGCACTACATTTTTCAACCCACAAGGACGATTGGAGTTCCGTCTCCATATCGTAGCCGTACACTAAAGTATTGTCACCGAAAATTATCTTATCCAAAAATGTAGGATCATTGTTAGAACGTTCAAGCAGCTAAAGGGATTTTAACATTTGGTTGGATTTTCGTTCAACGGACAACAATCAAGGGGCAAGTGTACCTGAAACTCGATGCATGTCTACATATTCTATCAAAATTGTATGTACAGAGCCTTCAAAAATATTACTCTGTTCAACACACTCGAAACGACCATTTTCGAGCACTTTTGCCTGCATTTCTTCCACGTGACAAATGTCAGTTGCCGTTGAAGGTCGATTCCCATGCTCTTCATCTTTGACGAACTCCTGACCAGTTTTGAACAGTTTAACCCATTCGAAACAGTGGGAAAATCTCGCACAATGATCATTGATCATGGTAAACTTTACTTAGCATTTACCAAAAGTTTCGGTACAGGGTATACCGAGTTTAAAAAAAAAATTCAATGTTTAATCTTTGCTCTATCAGTGATCGCATGATGAAAATCGCAAAACGCACCTGACTTACTCGTATTCAAGATGACACAGAATAAACACTAATCAAAATAAACAAAATCTGTGAATGTAGCGTTCTTAAATATATTTTCAGCTATCGGGAAAGCTCAAGAAAACCTAATTCGGACGCATTGTGGGCCAGTTATGACCAAAATCCGGTTTCTAATCTAACAGACCTCGTATAGGCTGAATCGGGTAATGACCTCTGAATTTATCTTTTCCCTAAAGCGAATAAATTATTTATATTTTTGAGTTCGGGCTCTCTAAAATGTACTCTTCCTAGAAATAATTGAATTTGCGATGATTGAATTTAATACTAAACCCGATATTCTTTTATTTATAGATGTAGAGACTGCCCCTTCATATTTTTTCCAAGTAACCACGAGGTGATTGTCTCAAGTTGGCTACAATGTTTCCCATCCAGTTGCGTCCATTATAAATAATCAATTCTAGTAAAAGCAGCAATTAGTTCAATAAATATTCAACGGGCTCATTTTCTATCTTTACACGGAAATGATGAAACGTTGGAATTCATGCTGGCAGGGTGCTGCTAAATGCACGTTTGCTGAATGGGGAAAAACATCCGAAGCGCCTTCATTTTTGTTGGTGCACCACGCACAGCTCTTGAGCACGTATAGTTGTGTCTCATTTAATCATGACTTCCAGTGTGATATAGTGAAGTGCTAAAAGTGTATCAGTGGGTGCCGAGCAGCTACTGACACGCGAAACGAGAACTTGACCAAACACGAGTTTGCGGGCCCGACCAGATGGATTGTTGCAATTGTCTGAGTAAAAGGAGATAAAGGATAAAGAAAAGCACTAAATAAGAAAAAGAAAAAAAAACGAAGAAAAATAAGGCGATTAGTAGGTGATTTGTAGGGAGAAGAGGAGAAAGAATAAGGGAATAAAAAACGGGATTTCTGAAATATTATAAAAATAAAGGAAATTAAACAAATGCCTTAAAAAATTGGCATCCCTATACAGTCAGCGTCCCACGAATTTCCGTACGCTTTGTGCTCTTTGCGACCTGAGACAGAAAATTTCATGAAAAATAAGAATATGAAATTTATGCCTGGAATTTCCATATATTGACATTTTCCGCTATTACTTTTTAATCATAAAATTTCAGACACTTTTTGAAATTTTATCGAATTTTTACGTAAAATTTAACAAGATATTTCAAAGGCGAACTCAGCTTGCGAGCCTGGCCTCTAATCCGTGGGGTCTGTAGGACAAGGGTGATACTGCCGTGATAAGGAAAAACGCCGTATGAGCCTTCAGACGTTGCCAAGTTTCCTCCGATAAAAACCGAATTTACAGGTAAAATTGCGAATATTATTTTCCAAACTTCTCGAACGATTTTTTACGGAATTTAGTCTAGAATATCTGGAAATATCCAGGAAAAATATACATAAATGTTGTCAAAAATACGTCTTTTAACAAGGGAAATTTGGCAACTCTCGAATGTTCTTCCTTCGGCGTTCTTTCTTAGCACGGCAGGATTACTCAAGGAGCGATTAGTAGAACGTATTTCTGCCAAACAGAACGATGTGCGAGTGGGAAAGATTGAGTGTGCTCTAAACCCTGGTAAAAATTGGCAGTGGAATGTGTGTTCCAAAATACTATGGAGATAGTCCTAAAGCCGGCTTTAAGATTTCCAATAGCTTCTGTAGCCTGCACAATATCTTATAGCCTTTTATAGCCGATGGCGACTAAGCAACAGCCAGACGATAAAGTTTATGCTAAACGTTACTAAATACGGATACTAGGACTTAGTTAGTTTTTGGACTACCGCTCTCTTTTGTGCCGTAGTATCTTGATTTATTTTGCGAAGAAAGCTCCGTACTTTTGAAGGATGCCTGTCATTCTTATTATGTTGGAGCCCCTTCAATTTCTTATGGTACTGTGCAATACCTCTGGTGTGAAATAGTTGCTTCAGACGCCGTGGCACGCTGCGACGCAGCGGGCGGGCAGAGAGCGCGAAGAGCGCATTGACGCCTACAAACCTAACAGGGATACTTCACGCATTGCGCAATGCGTGAAGTATCCCTGTTAGGTTTGTAGGCGCAAGTGCGTCGCCGCGCAATGCGTGAAGTATCCCTGTTAGGTTTGTAGGCGTTATTGCGTCTCCGCTCCGCTTTGTGTTAGGCTCTAATATTTAATCTCAGTCAGCGTTTTTCAACTCATGATTTTGAAATGTTTGCACCCTCTGAATGGACCATCTCCTTTTAATTGATGAAAAAACAATATGTTTTAAAGGAAAATATAATGTGTATTTTGTAAATATTATGGTAGTTCCGTATCAAACTTAATGATTTCCAAAGCACACGAATTTCTACACAATTTCTTATAGCCTTTTATAGCCAATGGCGATAAAGTGTAAGGCCCGGTGAGGAATTATAGCCCGACTGTGTACTTTTTTATAGCTTCGTATCCCGGCCATATGATTTGCTCCGCTTTTTACAGCCAGCTATAGGATTTTCAATAGCCTTCTTTAGTCGGCTATAAGAACTCCTATGGTATTTTGAAACGCAGCTCGTATCGTCAATTTTTACCAGGGAAAAGCTGCATAAGGAGCAGTGTTAAAGTGGGGTAAGCGGGATTTTACATTCTATCAAACCGGACTATGTCCACTGATTGCGACACTCGTGAGTTATGGGCATGTGACAAGAGCGTTGTGAACAGGGCTCATGAGTTAATGACTTAACAGGGAAATAGCGAAACAGGAGCGACTACTTAGTCGCAACTAACGTCACTGGTGCTTTATAATTCCTATTCATTCCTACGACCCTCGACTTACGGGCACACCCCTTCTTCCCCACCGTTCTCTGGTTCCTTTTGGTAGAAATACGTCCAGCGGGCCGATTATAGAAATTGATAGACAAAGCTATAGACAAAGAGGACGAGGGGGCTACGGAGGGATCCTATCGGTAGAAGCAGGTGGTTGCAATGGACAAAGGAGGTAGGTATTAGACTAACTGACGGCAACCCGCAAGGGACCCTATACTTAGTCCATCAGTTTTCCTCTCGATCTAGGACAACCTCCCGTTCCAATCAGGATCGTTCCATGCTTCCTATGTCTTTTTTGTCTATCGCTTCATCAGCCCGCAGGAAGTCGGGAACGCTGGAAACAGAGATAAGCATTTCTGCAGTTTCACCATAGTTTAGATCGTGATTATGTCTTTCTTGTCTACCACTTTGTCTATCAATTTCATTAATCAGCCCGCACGAGACTGATTATTGAAATTGATAGACAAAGCGATAGACAAAGAGGACATAGGAAGTATGGAGCGATCTTATTGGTTGACATGGTTGGTTCTTGCAGACTAAGGAAGAAAATAATGGACTAACTGTCAGGTCTTTAGTGGGTTGCTGTTAGTTGCCTACCTGTCATTGCCTACCTCCTATGTTCATTGCGACCACCTGCTTTCACCAACAGGATCCCTCTAAATCCCTTTAGTCGTCTTTGTCTATAGCTTTGTCTATCGGTTTCAATAATCGCCCCGCAGTTGTGGATGTCCGTGCAGGTCCCTGACTCACCGTTTCCAGGGGGTTGACGATGGCGAAGACGAAGCCGCCTTTGAGGGAGTCGAGGCGGGCGGCGATGCGGATGGCAAACTCGGCGTCCAGTTTGTCCGGCAGAAGCATCCGTTGCGGGAGCTTGTTGTCCGAGCCCGGCTGGAGCTCCACCACCGGGAACCCATCCGGCCCGTCCACCATTTTCGTCCGGGTGTCCGTTAAAACCGTCACAGCGTCCAGCAAATTCACGTTCCCTGCAATCATAAACAAATCGAATATACGTCACTCACCGAGCGTGTCGCTCTGCCGCACAGTGGGTCGAGTCGATAGGAAAAGTCGGACAAAATTTTGAAACTTTAAAACACGGTGTCTAGTTTTCTCGACTAAGCTCATTCCCTGATTTTTCCCTGATTTTCAGGAGCTCATTCCTTGATGAGAAACCCAAATTTTCTCCCACTTTCTCGGGATTTTCTTGGGGAAAAGAATATAATATTCCAGAGATTTAGATATGATATCGATGCGCGTTTTCAACTGCGCATGCGCAATAATTGCCGAAGGCTGACGGACGTAGCCGAATAGCGCTCGGTCAGATTAGACTGCCAAGTTTTAAAACGAAATGATCCCTGGGGGGTTGGAGGAGAGATTCCCGGTTTCTGAAACAGAGTCCCTGATTTTCCCGGTAAATTTTCACTCCCTGATGAAGCCCGGTTTTCCCCGGTTTTTAAAAAAATACACACCATGCTTTAATAGCTTATAACGCCGTATATACAAAACTTTGAGGTTCTAAAAGTGGCTCTATTGGTTTCCTCGTGAAATTTTCTACTAGATACACTCCTTAAAATTTCAAATGTGACAAAATAAGCATCAAAATTTGCTGCTTTAGTAAAAAATTTCATGTCCAACTTCTCTGATTGACTCGATCTACCGTGTGCCGTCTTATCGAAGGAGCGTAAACTCCAGAAATTAAGTTTGGAGGCCCGTTCAAGTTAAAGGATGTACATGCAAAGATAATATGGACCTGTTAAAAAGAAATACTGGCGTGATAAGTAAAAACACCGTGTAAACATACGAATGTTGCCAAATTTCTTCTTAAAAATATTTATTTTTGAGGGGAGTTTTGAATATTTTTCCTTGAAAATTTCAGACGTTTTAGGTCAAATTAAAAACAAAATTTTCAGAAAAAACGGATGAGATGCTCCAAGAGCTCCACGACTTAGCCTCTTAAATTATGAAAAGTCCATAATCTCCTTACACAGGTACTCTAGTTCAAGTATTGCGTGGTAGTGCGTTTGCCTTTCGGTCAATAGGTTCTGGGTCCCAATTCTGGCAATGGCGAAAAGTGTTCCACAAAGAAGCTGACTTTCTCCTGACAAGTTTGGGATTCCTTTGTTGTACATTTCATTCCTTCAAAATTGAGAGAGCAGGATTTTTTTCGGGGTCCGAAATTTAGCCATTTACTAAGCACATATCGACGGCTTAAGTCCGCAACCTAGTATCTCGTTTGCGGTGTTTGAAAATCCCCGCCTCTATATTATTTTTTCAAAGGAGAAAAAATTGACATCATTTCTTGAAGTTTTTGCAGAGTTTTCTTCGCACGGAGAGGAAAAATCACGGCAGTTTTAAAAAATTGCCGTTGAGTAGTTTTCTGTTAAGAAAATAAAGTATGACAAGAAGTCTGCGACGTCGCAAACCAAGATCTGTGGTTGCGAACTTACACCGCCGTCGATGTATGTTTTTCTCCAAAGGCCGATAAGGCCTACTTTGATTTATGTTCCATCGCTAGCGGTAAGTTTGAATTCACCGTTTCTGACATCGATTTTATTCGCTAATTTTCCACTGATAAGAAAATTTGAACATTCTGAACAAGTTTAGCGTTTATTGTGAGTGAGATATTGATGCATTGACCCCGGGACTAAGAACTGTGGAAATGCATTAACAGCAATTTGTAGGCAGTGGCTCACGGCTGAGCCCAGTCCATCGCGAGTATACAACACATAGCAGTAGCGGACAGCATGCCATGGATGGTCATTTCGGCAATGATACCATGCTAAAGAAAAACGTCGTATGAGCCTTCAGATTTTGCCAAATTTTCTTTGATAAAAACGAATTACTTATGAGGAAACTTGTTGATATTTTCTTTTGAATTCCCTAGTGTACAATATGCTATCTAGCTAAAGTATGTTTACATGTCAAAGGATAAATAGTGATAATTTTCTTCAAAATTATTATTTTTGATTTGCAGAAACTTAGCAACATCTGAATGTTTATACGTCGTTTTTCCTTAGCACGGCAGTAAAATGGGGAATGGGCATGGCGAGGGCCCAAATCTGGCGCGCTAATTGCGGCTCCGATGAGAACGTAATGCGTATCCGATAGATTTGTTCTCACCGACCTGTGTCAGTTGTCCAATTAGTCGCCGAAAATTTACCAATTCCTCTCGTGCTATTTAGCCTCAACCCCTACCCCTCCACCCCGTCCACAAACCTAGCCTCCGTCGAATCTACCTTGCATACATCGGGAGTGGTGATTTACGTAAAAGCTTCACGCGTTGCCATGACCCTGCCAACAATCATCTTTAAAACTCACTTTTTAAAAGCTCTTAGTAGACGCATTGAAAAATAATTTTGAAGGCAACTCGTTTCGGTTGTTTCAGTAGTAAAATTTTGGAGAAAGTTTTTGAAAAATGACATTTTCAACATTTTTGTAAACATTTTAAGAGTCAAAAAACTGCTGCTTGTCTTTTGAAAGTTCTTTGATCAATTTTTTACTTAAATTTTACCACTATTTTTTACTTTAAAAAATTCGAAAAATGGTCTCTAAAAACATTGGTGCCATTTTTTTTTTGGATGTCTTTTTAAGAGTATGAGTTTATGAAAAATTCAACGGTTGTTGCAAAATACGTACGACAGTTATGTCTAATAGGTCTGGTACATCGCTCAGCTGGAATGAAAATTTGTCTAATGAAAAACAAGGAGTAAAAAGGATCGTTGCTCTTACAACTCTCATCATCATAATGCGACTTTACTCTGCAACAGCGACTGATTTTGGGGTTTTTAGAATTTGGCTACATTGTTCAAGAAGACTGCATTCTTGCCATTGCCGCTTTCGTTTCATACTGCGAGGTTTCCCTGAGCTTTCCAAGTAGGAAAATGTACACAGGTTCAGATGGTGCAGTCTAGCGCTGCGAGAGCGAAGTTGAATTTCACCACTGCGCCAACAGAGAGCAGTACAGGTAAGAGATTGTCCGACTCTTCACTGCACCGCTGTGATCGCAAAGAGAGGCATTGCATGAGAGCAAAACTGAAGTTTTCGGAAATTGAATCTTTTGGTGTCGAAGCGTGAAATTTTATTGACAAGTCTTCTGATTTTGAAAAAACAAATTTTAGTAGTAGGTGAGGTTCTCATTGACTCTCAGGCGGAAAAATTTCACGTAAACACGATTTTTAAAATTATTGAAATTAACTACTAAATAAGCATAAATACAAGCTAAATAATTGCATTTACCGATGCATATTTCAAACTCTCTCCTCATTAGAAAAACTTGATTCAAACGCACACTAAACATTAAGGTGATTCGGTGGGCGTGTCAGGGTAACATATGATTTAGTCCATCGAACAGCGATAGATATCGATTAGCTCCGTATTTCCAGATACTTGTAATTTTTATCGAGTTTTGAGATCGCATTTCTGTTCCCACCAGACTTAAGAATTCACCTACCTTTAAAAAACAAATTCAACGTAACAAAGGCAGAGATGTTTTGAAGGAGAAATATAGCATTCGATTCTGATATCGAAACTGCACTCGAAAACGATATTTTTCCTCTAACAAAACCGTGCCTTTATTATTTTAAATTTGTTTGTCAAATTTGGTAAAAGAATTCTTAAATCTCATGACAACAGAAATACGGTCTCAAAATTCAATAAAAATGACAAGTACCTCAAAACATGGAATCATAATCGATGCGATTTGTCTAATTTCGTTCTGACACAAAATATGGCGGCCATCGAATTCCCGCAAGTAACAGTCTCTACGGATGAATATATGACAATCTCAATCTTGGCCCTTCAGTTCAATTGTTGCACGTTGTTAACACTTTGAACAAAACACGAAGATTAAAGCGCGCACCTTGCTATAAGTGCAATGCGTGAAGTATTCTCGCAGACTTGTAGGCGTCAACATACCGCGCGGAGCTGTACGCGCAATGCATGAAGTATCCATGCAGCCTTGCAGGCGCCGTGCTTTTCGAGCGGGCCGCTTTATGTTTGGGGCGATCAGTCTCACTCGCTCAGTCAGCGTTTTCCAACTTGCGATTTTAAAGTTTTTTGTACAAATACACCCTGTACATACCATTGTTATATACTCTGATAAAAAATTAAGAAAACTACACAAAATTCAGCTAATTTACTTATATTTATTTACATATCGATCGCCAAAGTGCGAAACTACGGATCTCCGTGTGCGGCGTTGTTTCTTTGAAAATCTAATTGACGCAATTTCTTGAAAACTAGGTACCTCAAGTTTTTCTCTTTTTCAGGATGATACTCGGTATGAATTTCAAGCTGTAATGTTGGCTTGTTTCTCTTCGAGAAAATAAAAAAGGAGCGGGAATTTTGAAAAATCGCAATGAATGTACGTAATTCCGCATTCTGGCCATTAGTGTTCATTTATATACAAAAAGGCTTAAGTGGAGGCATTGAAAGTGCCTTATTAGTAAGAAATACCATAAGCGCGTTTATTTTTGGTGAAGTTCGCACAAGTTAAGGAGCCCTCGTCGGTTGATGCGATTTCTTAATTTGAAACAATATACCTCTCTTATCGAACATCGAAAACCTAAACAAAGGCAATATCCGCGATGGCAGTACGAGCGAATTCGGAGCACAAAAAGTTACGCGCGTGATTTTGTCACTCTCGTTTTTTCAGGCAGAAACATACGTTAATTAGTCAAAATCGAAGATGTTGTTACCGAGGACATTTTTTTGCACTGAAACGAATGTTTGATTGGCTTGTGCGGAAAAAGGCGTGGAAAATTTGACCAAGGCACGGCATCAGCGGAAATCTGAGTATCTGAAACACTGCTACCAAGTAATAAAGTCATGAATCTTCTCGAAAAATCTTTTACCCCACCCGTGTCATCACCCGCCTCCATTTATTAAAAAGGAAAAATCACCCTTTACAGCCGTGATTGCTCCGCCCTTAACTTTGTGTCTTACGGAGGGATACAGTTCTGCAACACTTTTTCTCAGTTCAAACTCA